AATGGTTTCCAGGAAGAAATCACCATGGACACTGAATTTATACCCACTCCATGCATATAGTGACAATAATTTGGACAGCACCTAGGGGCGATCAGGGGTTTATCTCCAGGGTTTTACCTTTTGACATTCACAACAACCTGGTGAGGTCCTGGGGGCAGTGGCAATTATTCTCCCCTCCTATGGAGGTCCCCGATCCCTGAGCCCTTGCCTCAGTCCCTGCACAGGCCTGGGGCACAAGAAACTCTTAGAGGAGGCCAGAAGTTGCCGGGAGGTGAGCAGAGCCAAGTGGTCTTGGCCGAAAGAAAGTGAATCCCATTGCCTGGGCTGGAAATAAGAGAGGAGAACTGCTCCCTTCTGCACAGCCCACACCTGTTCCTCTTGGAAGAGTTACCACCGGCAAAGATTCAACTGTTCCGAGCTGAATACAGACAGGAAACTGAGGCTTGGGTGATTAAGCCCAAGGTTAGGCTGCTAATGAACGCCAAAGTCACGTTTCTAAGCCACGCTGCCATCCCCATCTCAAACACCATCCCACCATCCCCCTTCACACTACGTTGCACCTCAAAAGATCATGCGCAGGTCTTCCTAGGACAGTAGGGCTTGTCCACACCCACACCAGCCTGACAGCTTCTCCTCCAGCTCTCAGTGGCATCTCAGTGGCATGAACTCAGGCCCCTGAGCAGCCAGTTTCCCAGCTAGAGCACAGAGGATGGTGCACGGAGGGTGCTGTGCTGCGGACAGCTCATCAGGCCTCAGCGCCCACGGCAGCCAGGGCTGGTTAGAGCTTTCTCCCTTCCCCAGGCCTCCCCTGCCCCTCAACTGCTCCTCTCCTTCACACACCCATCACCTTGCTCTCTCGCAGAAAGCTCTTCCTTGTTAATGCCCTCACCCCAACAGCCACACGAAGCTGTCACCCTCAACTCCGGTTGTCACAAGTAGACCCTGTCTTTCCAGCTGAACAAGGATAACAGCCCATTGCACCTGGGACACACTGAGAGCCGTGGTTCTCAACCTCGACCTCACAGGAGACTCCTTAGTTAAAAATTAAGGCTAGCCGGGCGCGGTGGCTCAAGCCTGTAATCCCAGCACTTTGGGAGGCCGAGGCGGGTGGATCACGAGGTCGAGAGATCGAGACCATCCTGGTCAACATGGTGAAACCCCGTCTCTACTAAAAGTGCAAAAAATTAGCTGGGCATGGTGGCACGTGCCTGTAATCCCAGCTACTCAGGAGGCTGAGGCAGGAGAATTGCCTGAGTCCAGGAGGCGGAGGTTGCGGTGAGCCGAGATCGCGCCACTGCACTCCAGCCTGGGTAACAAGGGCGAAACTCCGTCTCAAAAAAAAAAAAAAAAAAAAAAAAAAAAAAAAATTAAGGCTGGCCACAGTGGCCATGCCTGTAATCCCAGCACTTTGGGAGGCCAAGGCAGGTGAATCACCTGAAGTCAGGAGTTTGAGACCAGCTTGAACAATACGGTGAAACCCCGTCTCTACTAAAAATACAAAAATTAGCTGGGCATGGTGGTGGGTGCCTGTAATCCCAGCTACTTGGGAGGCTGAGCAGGAGAACTGCTTGAACCTGGGAGGTGAAGATTGCAGTGAGCTGAGATCACGCCATTGCACTCTAGCCTGGGTAAAGAGCGAGACTCTATCTCAAAAAAAAAAAAAAAAAAAAAGTAAGTTAAAAATTAAAAAAAATTCTGAAGCCCAAGCCCTACTGAGACTTGGTAGCTCGGCCTCTCCAGGGGTGAGGCCCAGAATCGGGACTTCTAAATTCTCTGGGAGACTCCAGGAAGCAGCCCAGCTGAGGGTCGCTGCTTCATACCTCTGGAATCTGCCAAAAGCACTAGATGATTTGGGCCTCATGTCCACCCCAGGAAGGGACGTGGACAGGTGTTACCCCCGTTCTAAGAGTAGAAAGCTGAGGCTGAGAGGTGTGTGGCCCATGGTTGCTGCCACAGGGCTGGGACTGGAAGCCGGCTCTTTGTCCTGGGCTCTGGCAGGGCTCTTTACTGCAGCCTCCAGCCACTGTAACCAGTGCCAGCTGTGGAGGGCTGCCTGTCTCCAACTCCTTTTCTCTGCCCTGAAACAGCTACCATTGGCACTGGGCACGTGCCAGGGCTCAAGATGGAATAAAAATGAATGTCCCCTCTTGTACTGTCAGCCACTGTCTTCTGAGGAGGCTGGAAGACTTCTCTCCTGGGCTGGGCTCAGCCTCTGCCAGCTCTCCAGGAGCCACCATGTCACAGATGCCTGGAAGGAAGGGCTGGTGGGACCACACTAATGGAATGGCTAAGTCAGGAGTCGGCCTCCGAGAGCCTCCTCTTCCTGGGTGCCCTGCATTAGTCACGCCTGTCCTAGTCTTTAGCTCATCTAGGGTGACCATCAGACCGAGGGGATCACCAAGATTCAGGACTTCCGGCTTTAAAACTCAGACAAGTTGGTCACTCTGTTTCCCTCTGCCCAGTCCTGAATGACATGGTTTCCCTCACGGGGCCCCATGCCTCTCCTGCTTTACTGTGGTCATTGCTGTTGAGGGGCTATGAACACATGGCTTGTGGCAGCCGTGGCCTTGAACCTTCTGGCTTCCTCCTGGCCTGCTACAACAGTTTTGCTGGCCCACTGCACCTAGTGCTAAGCCTGCTACCCGAATGGGCTGGGTTCAAGGGCTCTCCTGCAGCCATTTGCTCGATGGCACCTGCACCTACTGTGTGCCCGGGATGCACAAAAGCCCCTGCAGTGAGGAGCAGCTCCCATTCCCCAGGAAGCGTGCAGTATGAGAGCTATGTTGGGGGCAGGCTTCTTGGAGGTGACATGGGATTGTGGGCGTGTCTGCGGCACATCTCAGAGGAAGCATCTTGTGCAAAGGTGCAGCTGTACTAAGAGTGTGGCACATTCTGAGACCATGCAGTCCAGGGAGGACGGAGCACTGGGTGGGGTGTGGAGGGGAGGGCTGGGGCTGCACTGCAGGGGCAGCGAAGGCCTGGCCTGGCACATCCAGGTGCTTCACTCGGCAGAGAGGGGTCAGTTAATGAGGGGCACCCACTGGCCACAAGGGATCTTGCTCCTTCCTGATCCAGATGGGAGAATTAGGCTTCTACCCCTATCCCCAGCTGTTTTTTGAAAGTGGTTCCCCCATGTGGCCAGAGGAAAGTGCATGGGGGAAGGTCTGGCCTTGGGTTGATGTTCTTGTACTAGAGCCCTCGGTCCCTACCCTCTGAACATTACAATCACCTTGGGCAACTCCCAATGCCCAGGCTGCACTCCACGCCAATAAGTGGGTGAAAGGAAGACCCGCAATGGGCTTTAAAGCTCCCAAGGGAATTCCAATGCAGAGCCAAGGTTGGGAAGCCTGTGCTCGAGGGACAGGGAGACAAGGCAGGGAGGGATGGCTCAGAGGCTCTGTGGAGGGGGGCATTTACCAACGGCACCTGGGGGCCCAGCACCCCTGCCCACTCCTCTCCCGTATGTCTTCCATATGAAATGAAAAGGACACAGAAAACGGGGAAGGAATGACACTCTGCTTTCCTGGCTTCTAAGTACAGCAGGCCTACGGTAGAGGGTTCAGGGCCCATCAGCTGCAGACAGGGCTATGCTGCCCCCTAGTGGCAAGTTCGGAGAACAGCTTTCACTACTCAGATTCCCCCACTTCCAGTAGGAAATCACTTCTGAACAGAGAACTTCCGTGGTACCATCTGAAAGGTCTGCACCAAACGCCTTATAGCTCTATACCCGATGCCGGCAGGCTGCACTGTCTCGGCCTCCTGCATACCTCTCAATCTCCCCAGACTCCAGCAGAGCATCCCACGGGAAGCGTGGGAGGTAAGTGGGCCCGCAGTTCCAAGCTAGGCAGTGACGCTGGCCACACGAGGACCCAGATCCTCCCGAACTCCCCGTAAGGCCTTCAGTCACCACAGCTTAGCCCTCTCCCCTTGTCTTCACAATAAGGATAAATGATGGAGAACGTAAGTCAGAGGGTTCGAGATTGGCAGGGATGGAGCCAGGAAAATGCCTGTCTCACTTCCACTAAGGCCTACAGGTAAGCTGCCTATGAAAGGCCTGGGCCTTCCCTTGAGCAAACGTCACCCCAACTCGCGAGGAGACAGTACCAGATGATGCTTCCTTCTCTGCTTTGGCTACTGGAGCTCAAAGCCAAATTATGGCTCCCCCAAAACATTTCTTAGGGCATTACAACTTGAGTTCCTTTTCCTGGTATGACATTCTACTCCGACCTCCTCTGTTCTTGTGCCTCACTTTGTATCTCACTGTTTCAGTTATTTCCTCAAAGTCTCCTCAAATCTTCTCTGGATTAAAATAGGATATAAACAGTAGGACTTTATTTTGGACTTGACAGGTTTGGCTCTTTACACAGTGTATGCTGAGCCAGTTCAGCATATTCTTTCAAATCTTTAGGACAGAAGCTTTCTGTCTAGGAGACAGTGGTTCCAAAATACATACCTCAGAATCACCTTAGAGGTCAGGTGTGGTGGCTCACGCCTGTAACCCCAGCACTTTGGGAGGCTGAAGGGGGCGGATCACTTGAGGCCAAGAGTTCAAGACCAATCTGGCTAAGACAGCAAAACCCCATCTCTACTAAAAATACACACACACACACACACACACACACACACACACACACGGCCAGGCATGGTGGCACACACTTGTAGTCCCAGCTACTCAGGAGGCTGAGGCACGAGGATCACCTGAACCCAGGAGGCAGAGGTTATGGTAAGCCAAGAATGTGCTATTGCACTCTAGCCTGGGTGACAGAGCAAGACTCTGTTTCAAAAAAAAAAAAAATTCACTTTAGAGACTTTAAAAAGGCCCTAATTCAGGTCTGGAGCAAGCCCCAGGAATATGTAATTTTAAAGTTTTCAAAACCACTGCTTCTGAAGCAGCCAGCCCAGCTCCTGGACATGGAGAAGTGTTTGAGAATCTCTGGCCTAGAAACATAAAAAGGGGGCCATTAGTTACAAAAATGAGTATCAAATTCCTTTACAAAGTATGATTTTCTAAATAAAATAAACCTCCACTTTATTCAGCTGATGTGCTTCAGAAACAATGGTTGTAAACCCAAATTCGCAAATCAAACCCATTCAAATCACCAGGGCAAAGGGTAAACAGAACACCGCAGTGAAGTCTTCTACAGAATCCAGACCCCCTATACTCGGTCTCGAAGTTTGGCTTTTCTTACAGTGGTCACTCCTGAAGTAAATGTCCACGTAAGAAAGAGATCCCAAGCTCCTCTTGGCAACCCACCTGTTTTAAATCACAATAGGCACACCCAACAAGGTCACAGAGGATGCCTACTGAAGTTCTTCCCATCAGCTCGACCTAAGAAGTCACCCCCGACTCCACTAGAGGGTGCTCTTTCCCTGGCCTGGACTGTTTCTACACTCTGAGGCGGTGTAGACTCAGTGTTAGACGGAGATCTATCTTCACCAGGCACTGAAAGCAGATGTGTGAGGAAAAGTGGTCATGTGACAACAGGCATTATCAGTGCTCCTGGGTCTCCAGACACACTGGCTGCTGTTCAGCCCCATGCGGTAAAGACCTACAAACCACCTCTGCAATTTTTATTCCAAAGTAGAGACAACTGGCTCGGAAGGTACAGCATGAGGGTTCATCAAAGCCAACAGCTGTCAAGTGTGGAAACCCACTGGTGCACACCACGAAAATGTCCTATCAGTCCATGCATGATGGGTGCAGGGACTTCTGCCTCCCAGAGTTCAAGTCCAAATGGCTCAGCTCCTCCTTGCAGACCTTCCTCCCAAGAGTGCTGTTTGGCAGGATCCTTGGTGCCTGTCGCAGTCTCAGAATCCATTTTATGGACTACCAAGAGCCCTGTGCTAGGTCCCTGGCACCGCAGTGGTGCTGGGTGTAATGGAAATGTCATCATGCCTCCCCAAAGCTAGAGCTGGGTCTAAAGATGCTGCAACCACTGGGTCCACACCACCGCCACTGCTTTCACACTGGCAGGGCCCCAGCCCTTTTTAGGAGTCACAGATCCTCCTTTCTTGGAAACCTAGGCCCCATTTGGCCCGGAGGGATACGAACAATGGAGATCTCGTCTGACCAAAAGTGTGAAATCAGAACCCAGGAAACTCAGTTAACAATCTGGACAATTGAGAAAACTCACCACAGGGGCTATGCCACAGACTTGCCTGAAAAGACCAACATGGCTGCAGAGCAGGTGGGAGGGGAACAAGGGAGGTGAAGAGGAACACAGACAAGAAGGGAAATAAGACAAGACAGTTCAAGTGACAAGGAACTAACAGAGCAGGTGGAGCAGCACAACCAAAGGGGGGTTAATACTGAGCAGGTTTCCAGTTCTAAGGGATTTTGAGTGTCATGTCTGGCCATGAAGCTACTGTGCCCAGGGCTGGCAGGGCTGGCAAGGCCTGTGGTAAATGAGAAAATACATTCACCAGGTCTTTCTGGGACTTCAGTGATTAATCACGTTAGATGGACTTCAAGATACACTGGCTTTATAATAAATTCCACAACACACCGGTATTGGTACAGCCTGAATCCAGGGCTGGTCAGAGAATGGAAAAGGTGGTAGTCGCTGAAAAGAGTGTTACAAGGACACATGCACTAGAGATGTCTCCAAGGTGGCATCTGCCCACACTGGCTGCGCAAAATGGGGGTCTGGCTGGTAAGTGCTAATATATTTCAGGGAAGAGAAGAAAACCAAAGAATTAGAGATGCTGAAACTAGGGCTGAGACTGGAATTGGCAAATCACAAATCTTTGCTCACAGCTCCTTTCTGAGGGGCAAAGGCCCCCAAGGCCTGATCACAGGTGCTAAGCCGCTGTCTCTGAACCTTAAAAGCCAACCACTCTATTAACAACTAGAAAAAATCAGCGACTAGGGTCAAGACTGAACACTCCCAGGGAGTAACACTGGCCTCACTTTAGACAGGAGAAACTCCGAACTGCAGTGTGGAAAATCTTACTTGTTATCGGCAACAGCACTGCCATCTTGCTTCCCTTAGGTAGCTGCTTCCAGGGAAAGGTGACAGGTACGGCAGTTAGTCATCTACACATCACTGGGGTGCGGGAGAAGTGGCCGAGCATGGGCATGACCTACTATTTAATACAATGGGTGTGAGAAAACGAGGCCTCTTTCCTCCTTTTCACCTTTTTTTTTTTTTTTTTTTTTTTTTGAGACAGAGTTTCGCTCTTGTTACCCAGGCTGGAGTGCAATGGCGCAACCTTGGCTCATCGCAACCTCCGCCTCCTGGGTTCAGGCAATTCTCCTGCCTCAGCCTCCTGAGTAGCTGGGATTACAGGCACGCACCACCATGCCCAGCTAATTTTTTTTTGTATTTTTAGTAGAGACGGGGTTTCACCATGTTGACCAGAATGGTCTCGATCTCTTGACCTCGTGATCCACCCGCCTCGGCCTCCCAAAGTGCTGGGATTATAGGCGTGAGCCACCACGCCCGGCCTCCTTTTCACTTTTGCTCCAGCCTACCAGGAGCTGGAGAGGCCGGATGGTGACAAGGCTTGAACTGTGTGGACGGTTCTGCATGCAGGCCTCACTGTGGGCACCTTCCCAGGGCACGAATCAGCTGTGTGAACAGTCACCCAAGCCATTCTTTCCCTCCCCCAGTTAAGAGTGACAGTGAGACGGAACTGGGACTTCTTCCATTCCCTAAGCACCGGGCATCCTGGTGGCACTAGCTCCCCCTCCAAGACGTCACAGAAAACAGAGCAGGTTGGCAACTAGATCACAATCGCTCCTGAGTGTCTTCACAGTTAAGACAGGCACATGTCTCAAAAGGTGGCCTCTGGGCCCCCCACCCCGTTTTCACGCACGCACACTCACACATACTCGCACGCTGTGGGAATGCTGTTCAGCCGCTGAGTGTGGCTGGCTCATGTCAGGTAGTGCACCACGAGGAACATGACCGTAAGGGTCACCAGCATCCCGCCGATCATGAAGTACTTGTCCTGGAAAGCCCGCTTCTCGATGAGCCGCATCACTGTGTTGGACAAGCCCAGCATGTTGGCAATGTCAAGGATCTTCTTCTGAGTGCCCTGAGGCAGAAAGAACAAACAAACAAACATCAAGTTGCTTTGCCAAGGGTGGGTGAATGTCATCAGGAGATGGAGCTTTGCCAACAGACATTTTCTTGGTCATGCCCAGAACACACAGAAAGCAATGTCAGCCAGAAATAGAGCCACTTTCATGTGGTCGACTGATGTTTGATTAAGGTACCAGAGCAGGCCGGGCGCGGTGGCTCAAGCCTGTAATCCCAGCACTTTGGGAGGCCGAGGCGGGTGGATCACGAGGTCGAAAGATCGAGACCATCCTGGTCAACATGGTGAAACCCCGTCTCTACCAAAAATACAAAAAAAAATTAGCTGGGCATGGTGGCGCGTGCCTGTAATCCCAGCTACTCAGGAGGCTGAGGCAGGAGAATTGCCTGAGCCCAGGAGGCGGAGGTTGCGGTGAGCCGAGATCGCGCCATTGCACTCCAGCCTGGGTAACAAGAGTGAAACTCCGTCTCAAAAAAAAAAAAAAAAAAAAAAAAAAAAAAAAAAAAAAAAAAAAAGGTACCAGAGCAGTGCAAATAGAAAGAAAAGTCTTTTCCACAAATGATGCTGGAACGACTGGCTATATATCAGGTATGTATTATATATATATATGTATCACTCTCTCTTTTTTTTCCCCCGAGACGGAGTCTTGTTCTGTTGCCCAGGCTAGAGCACAGTGGTGCAATCTTGACTCATTGCAACCTCTGCCTCCTGGGTTCAAGAGATTCTCCTGCCTCAGCCTCCCAAGTAGCTGGCATGACAGGCATGTGTCACCATGCCCGGCTAATTTTTGTATTTTTAGTAGAGATGGGGTTTTACCATGTTGGTCAGGCTGTTCTCGAACTCTTGACCTTGCGATCCACCTGCCTCAGCCTCCCAAAGTGTTGGGATTACAGGCGTGAGCCAGTGTGCTGGCCCTATATGTATCTCTCTTATAGTTATATGTGTAAAAGCTAAACCTCAATTCACATTATATATAAAAATTAATTTGCGATGGGTCAAGAATTAAACATAAAAGTTAAAACCACAATTAAACCTTCTAGAAAAAAACAGGAGAGTATCTAAAAACTGCAAACAGGCCAGGTGCAGTGGTCATCCCTGTAATCCCAGCACTCTGGGAGGCAGGGGTGGGAGGACTATTTGAGGCTGGGAGTTTGAGATCAGCCTGGGCAATGTAGTGGAAAACCCTGTCTCTACCAAAAAAAAAAAAAAAAAAAAAAGTTAGCCAGGTGTGGTGGTGTGTACCTGTGGTTCTAGCTACTTGGGAGGCTAAGACAAGAGAATCACTTGAGCCCAGGAGTTCAAGGCTGCAGTGAGCTGAGACCACACCACTGCACTCCAGCCTAGGCGACAGAGCAAGGCCCTGTCCCAAAAAAATACATATATAAATACACACTGAAAACAATGGTGTCATTAGTCAGAAGATAAATGAACGAATTATTGTTTACCCGCACCAATGGAATACTGCTTCACAATAAAAAGTACCTGATGGCCAACATGGAACAAAATACGTAACAATGGGAATGAACCTTGAAACATAACTAGGAGAAAAAAGCCACACAGAAGACAGTAGTATGAATACCTTTATATGAAGTTTGAGTAACAAGCAAAACTCATCCACGGTGAAATAAATCACAATAGTGGCTGCCTGGGGCAGAGGGGTCAACTGACTGGGAAGGGGTCTGAGGGATCTTTCAGGGGTGATGAAATGGTCTGGACCTTGATGGGAGGTGAGTTACAAAGGTGGATGCATTTGCCAAAATTCACTGAACTGTAAAATTATCATCTGTACACCTGTCTGTAAATTATCTGTATTTCTGTAACAAAAATACTTAAAATTAGAATATTTTATAATAAAAAAAGAGGCAACATAAAAAAACTTGTTCTCAGCTCTCGAGTTCCAATAATCCTTGATACCAACCTATTTAGAGAGTAGACTCTTTGGGGTTTCTTCTGAGTACAATGGGTGGGTTGGATCATATTTACAAGAGGGTCTGAAGTGGGAAAAGACAGAAAGACACCAACGCAATGACCTAAAACCCCTTCCTTTTTTTTTTTTTTTTTGAGATAGGAGTTTTGCTCTTGTTGCCTACGTTGGAGTGCAATGGTGCAATCTTGGCTCACTGCAACCTGAGCCTCCTGGGCTCAAGTGATTCTCCTGCCTCAGTCTCCCAAGTATCTGGGATTTCAGGCATGCACCACCACATCTGGCTAATTTTGCATTTTTAGTAGAGATGGGGTTTCTCCATGCTGGTCAGGCTGGTCTTGAACTCCCAACCTCAGGTGATCCACCTGCCTTGGCCTCCCAAAGTGCTGGGATTACCAGCATGAGCCACGGTGCCTGGCCCTAAAACCCCTTCTATAAACGGCATCACCCACCCACCAGAAAAGGGCATTGTATTCCTAACCAGCAGCCCAAACCATCCAGCCTGCCCTTCCCTACTGCTTTCTGATTTTCAGCTTAAAGCATGTTCAACTTATTAAGTAACAAGTGTCAGTGAATGCCAGGCAGACCCTGAGTCGCTCAGCAAATATCACCCACTGCAACGTGTATGGATGGCATCAAACATCACGCCTCATATCCTTTTTCTTTCTTTTTAAAATAAATACACATTAATGAGCAACCGAGAGAAGCTAGGGAATTGAGATCAACATAAGGCATCACGGACAGGAATCCAAACTCTACCTTCTGCCCAGACAGCAATTAACAAGCCTCAGTTAGAGAAATTACAAGTCAAACTTCATTGCCATTAGACATCAGAGAAATGTTTTTTTCCAAGATAGTGGTAATACAAATTAGACTCTTGCTAAAGTCCTGCTTAGCTCTGAATACGCAGATTATTTCATCACTGTATGAAGCTAAGGATTAACCTTCTAAATCACTTGAAAATGACAATAAATTTCAAAACATGTATTCATTCTCAGCCACAAATCGGCCCCAGCCAGAGTGCTTCAGCCTAGCCCCTTCATGCCTGCTCCTATGTTCCTTTCAAATGGTGTAGGTGAAAAATCCTGACAGAGATAGGGTGGGGGGCAGGTGGAGGGAATCAAGAGACAAACACCAAGTAGCCACAGGTGTGCAGAGAAAAGTGAATAGAAACCTCGTCTCAACCTCCAGCCACCTCCCAGCCTTCCCTTCCGGTATCAGCGCGAATGTCGAGAGATGTGCAGATGCCCCAGTGTGGCCAGAGTTCAGTGGGAAGCTAGTAGGTGCCTTAACAGGACACTCTAACCCCCACTGGCTCTTCATCAGTATGACGCAGAGTCCTAAAAGGCCTCTAGTGTTTTTCTGAGATATGAAAAGGAGAGTAGCAGTTTTCTAAAGGGCAGACTAATCAACACGTATCAGTTCAGATCACCACAGGTGGCTCTCATGAAAGGGGAGAGCCCAGCAGGCTGCTGGAGACCACCCTTCCAGGCCATCTGAGACACTGCAACTGTCAGCAGGAGGCGAGTGTCACTTGCAGCTTGCCTGACCCTCTCCCCCGTAGAGATGGCAGGGACTGTTCAGAAATGTACTGAAGTCCTGTGGAGCTGACAGGCTCAATGTGGTCCAACAAAAACCAAGATAAAGCTCACACTTCCAAGGGACTGTTTCTCACAGCTCAGTGGCTGGGAGTGCTTCATTCACAGGGGACCACACCCTGATAACAGACAGAGCCCACACCCTATTATCCATTAGGGCTGATACAGGAAAAGGGCAGAGGCTGAAACATCATGACTGACATCAGAGTCTGTGTAATGTTTCTGTAAACCACTCCCAGGGGCTGAGACTTAGCAGTGCCAACTGGTCAGGGCTTCTAGGAATACCCGAGGCTAGAGAGTGAAGAGTCGCTGGGATCACCAGCACAGGCTTTAGAAGCTCTAATCTACTGCAAACAACCAGGCGGCCCTAATACCGCACAGTGGGGATTCAGTTACTGAAATACAAAAGGTTTCAGTTATAAGGCAGTCAGTCCACAGTAGGGGTCCTAAGGGAAAGCCACCTTAGAGTGAGGTACCAAAGGACAGCCACGTCTTCATTCTTCCAAGAGTAGATTCTGTAACACAATTTCTCAGCCTGTGATTGGACCTCTCGTAGTAGCAGTCACTTTCATGGTAAGTTCAGTAAATGGGAAAAGACTTGGATACTAAGAGAGGCCACTTTATGGTTTCTTTCAAGCACTGGCAAAGGAACTGGGTACGTTCAGTCTCACAGTAACTCAACTCCAACAGAAAGGATCCCAAACTCAAGGGCTCTGTTGTGTCCTCAAAATGTCACAATTTGAGGACACATATCAAAACACAAACACAGGCACCAAACTGTTCGATGAGGCTATAACAACAGGCCTTCTCCCTGTCCCCCAGCAGGGACCCCACCTTCAAGGTCAGTCTCTGGTTCCTCAGTCCATCTAAAATATTGTGCCCATCTAAAATGAGGTCATCCACGCCGTGGTGAATTTTCTGGAGGGAGGAGTTAAACTGCAGTGAGTCGTCCATTGGTATGGTGGTGTCAGAGTCCTGGGAAAGAAACACAGGCACTTTATTAACTTTGCTTGTCAGTCAGTCAGCTCCTGGGGTCTGACTGCTCTGCCTGCTGGCCGAGGCCAAGCCAGACCAGCCAGAGGGGATGGTGCAAGAATCAGCGGAACGAACGGATAAAAACGCCATGCAAAGGCCTGGGGTGGCCTCTGTCCACACAGAACAGGAATTTCCTCATATCTGTCACTCTCCAAATGAGTTCCACTCCACAAGTAGCATTCATTCTTGCCTCTGTATCATTATCTCCACTTAGGAAGAGGTATTCCTTCAAGATCTCACTGGGTGTCTCGTAAAGGCTTTCTCTGACTACTTGCTAACCTAGCTAGCTCCAAATCTTCCTTTCCGTGGCTTCCCCTTAATGTAGTGTTAAATGTTTGGTTTTGTCCTTTAGCTATTTTATCTACAGTTTAGCTCTCCAAGTAGACTAAGGATAAAGGAGGTTGTGCTTCTCTGTTTTCTTTTTTTTTCTGGGACAGGGTCTCCCTCTGTCACCCAGGGTGGACTGCAGTAGTGCGATCTCAGTTCACCGCAACCTCAGCTTCCTGGACTCAAACAATTCTCCCACCTCAGCTTTCTCAGTAGCTGGGACCACAGGTGCATGCTACCATGTCCAGTTTTCCTTTTTTTTTTTAGTATTTTTGGTAGAGACAGGGCTTCACCATGTTGCTTGGGCTGGTCTTGAACTCCTGTGCTCAAGCATTCTGTCCGTAGGTCTCCCCATTTTACAGATGAAAAAATGCCCAGAGAGATAAAATGACTTGTCCAAGATCACAGAGCTGGTAAGAAGTCCAGCGGACATGGGAGTCTAGGTACTGAGTGCAGGGCCTGCCCTGTTATCCATACTGTAGAGAGAAACACCAAGAGCCATCCTGGTGACTCTACCCGTGCACTAAAAGTGACTACAGACAGGAGCCAGGTCCTCACCAGCTGTAAGAGTGTCCTGTCTCTTTTCCGCCAATCACAAACTTTTGGTTTTTTTTTTTTTTTTTTTTTGGACAGGGTCTCATTCTGTGACCCAGGCAGTGCAGCCTTGACCTCCCAGGCTTAAGTGATCCTCCTACCTCAGCCTCCCGAGTAGCTGGGACTACAGGTGCACACCACCATGCCTGGCTAATTTTTATACTTTTTTTTTTTTATAGAGATGAGGTCTCACCATGTCCCCCAGGATGGTGAACTCCAGAACAATCTGCTGCCTTAGTCTCCCAAAGTGCTGGGATCACAGGTGTGTGCCAGACTGCCCGGCCCTACTAGTGCTGTTTTTACCCCTAAACCCCAGTTTCAATTGTCAAAAAAAAAAAAAAAAAGTTATGCCATCGTTTCTTTGCTGCTCAGATTCGGAATCATTTTGCACATGTGCGCTTTCAACTGCCCCTGCTAACAGGGGAGCTCCTCACAGGCAGGAGTCAGGTTTCTGAATTTCCTCATGCGTTTTACTCCTAGCGCCTGAATTCACTAGTGTTCCACATGCAGCTGATGCTCAGTGCGTCAAAAGACACTAGTGTTTCAAAGGCTCAATTAGAGACACCCCTTCAGTAATCTGACAAGCGCTTATGGAATGCTGCTCATATACAAATCTTCCTACCCTCCTATCTAAAACGGTATGGCTGATGGGCTATTATCTCTCAGAAAAAATGTATTATAGCTCCAGATGGTAGAATGACCAGGAAGAAGTGTCATCTGGCAAGTCAATGTTTATTAGGAACCGACTGTATGCACAGCATCACGCCAGCCTGGCAAAAAAGCAGAATTAATCCTGAGCGATTATCCTTGGCCTAAAAAAGGCCTGAATGCTACATTATAACAATGTAAAATCCAAGCAACATCTTTTAGTGTGTCTTATCACTCATTGTAATTTTTGAATTGTTAAACACTGTGACTTGACTGCTGCTTACTCTGGAGAAGCAACACTATGTAGACACATTCTGAAACACCTGAGGCAATTTGTTGCAAAGCAAGGATACAGCATTGAGGGTTACACATACAAAGCAGGAAATGATGTGAATTTTAACGACAGGCTTAGAAAGCTAACATCTCTTTAGAAAATAAATCTCTGTAAAAAACAAAATACAGAAAGCCAAAGCACACTTCACCTAGTGGAATATATCATATAGGACACAGAAAAGGCCAGTATGCTCCACAGCCATGCGCAGGAAATGATCCGGTTAGGGATAATGGGTTCTGAGAAATCAAACGTGCAAACCAACACACTTTCAGGCAGACTCACGCAAGCAGTCCACCTAACCCTAAATATCTGTTAACAAATTCCTCCAAATTGCTGCTCAGACTAGAGGCAGAAACATTTTAATGCACCTGACACTGGAACCACACACATACTCGGTACAATGGCAACTGCCCGCAGGCAGCTTTGAAATGCTGCCTTCTCTACAAATGGCCTAAGTTCTAATCATCTCTCTATCTGATCAGAAAAACGTTTCCACCATGTGAACTTCCACCTTTCTGTCTCAGACCAGTCCAACCAGGTAATTTTCACCTCTGCCTAATTCCCTTTCAATTTAACTGCTTCCTCTTCAGGTTTTTGTCTTAGAAAAAGAGATTCCTCTGTGTAGGGCTAGTCTCTATGGCAATGCACAAAGTTCCTGTCATTTCCAGTTGGTTTCCTCCTCATCAGTCTTCTTCAGACACCCTCTAAAACAGATGACGCTCAGAGACCTGAACTCTGTCAAGTGCAGGCCGACCCTCACCGCATGCCTGGCTTACGTTAGTGGTGAAGGTTCGAGACAGAAGCTCTTCTCGCTGCCTCTCCTGCTGTTCCCTTGCATGGCGCCGATGCTGGAAGTTTCTGAGAGCAGTCTGCAGGTGCTGGACATCATACTTTAACTGGTCAACCCGACTGGAATTGATGGAGAGAGAGATTAAATTCCAGGAACTCAGGTCAGCAGAATCTGAGGGGGCCAGGCTTTGTACTGAGGAAGACGGTGGTTCCTTACTTCTCCCTACACCACCCCATGATATACTCCCCCCGCCCCCCACCCCTGCAAGATCTGATTTTGATCAATGATGTTGAAAGTAAAGAAGTAATTCGTGGTTAAAGTGAGACGGTAGCACGTAAGATTCCGGAAGCTTGACTTCAGTATCTGCTGCTCTCTGATTCTGGATGCATGACAGGGAACAGGGGACAGGAAGCAGGCTTGCTGACCTCTTTCTGACCTTCTATGGATTATATCGCTCTCCTGGAAGAAGCCCAAGGGCATCTTTGAGGCAAAGCATCCACGGTTTCATAAAACTTTTGGAAACAGGCGCTGGGGGTGGAGGTGGAGAGGGTGGTTTCATTTTAATTTCATGGTGGACTATCAAACATTAGATCAGTATTTCATTATAGGTGGACTGATTGAAGTGATTTTTCATTTCAACCCAAGAAAAACCCAGCAGGAACCAAAGAGCAGAACAAAACTCCATGGCAACATTAGGCTTCAGGTGGCCATGGGTCTACTCAGAAAAACAGAACTGGAGGCAAAATTTCAAAATGACACCAAAGAGGTAAGGGGTCACAAGGCCTCTGAGTCACAAACCTCATAGGCTATTTATTTTGAGGGGGTATCACTCAAATAGAATTGTGGCCTTTGAGGGGGCTTTTTATTTGCTTAGTCTTATCTTTTCAACATGTACGTGGGTTCTCAGAATATTCTATCGCCTGCCCCTGCGAGAAAGGCCTGTCTTGCCAGGCCTGGAGTATGAGAGCCATGTCAGAGGTCAACACTTACAGTTTGGCATTCTGCCTTTTGTTAGGGGGCTCCTTGCTGGACAAAATCTCCAGGCGTTCTAGACGGCTGAATATCTGGTCTATGCTTGCTTGGATTTCGTTTTCTACTACTGCACAAAAGAGAAAAAAGAATAATTGCTGGAAAAAAGACAGTGAATTTAAATTAGAATGATAAATCACACATTTTTTCAATAACCAATAAACTCGAAACATATTTCAAAAGGAGAAAAATGGGCCGGGCGTGGTGGCTCAAGACTAATCCCAGCACTTTGGGAGGCCGAGGCGGGTGGATCACGAGGTCAAGAGATCGAGACCATCCTGGTCAACATGGTGAAACCTCGTCTCTACTAAAGATACAAAAAATCAGCTGGGCATGGTGGCACGTGCCTGTAATCCCAGCTACTCAGGAGGCTGAGGCAGGAGAATTGCCTGAACCCAGGAGGCGGAGGTTGCGGTGAGCCGAGATCGCACCATTGCACTCCAGCCTGGGTAACAAGAGCGAAACTCTGTCTCAAAAAAAAAAAAAAAAAAAAAAAAAGGAGAAAAATGTATACACTAATGAATAACAGAAAAAAATTCAAGTTATGCTGTAAATGTTGTTCTGAAAAAAGTACATGTATATAGCTGTTAATGACATATAATGCCAATTTTTTTTTAAAGCTGAAGGTAAATCTGTAGAAATAAATGTCCTATTTTTAGAAAATAAACATGTAAAGGTTGTCCAAATAAATACTTTAAGCTAAACTTTCTGTTATAGGTCTCTTTTCCTTTGGGATTCTCAGACATGGATTATAAGTAACTAGTAAAAAGACTGCCAATTGAATTCTCTATAGTAATGAGGCTTTTTTTTAAATTTTTTTTTTTTAAAAAAAAGCATAAAGGAAGGGGAAGATTAGTATGTGAAACATACAGAGAACAGTTCCCTTAAGGCTTTCTGTAAGAATGGGTGGGCTGAGCAATGCTGACATTCCCAAAATAGACCAAATATCAATAGGAAAGGCCCAGGAAAGAGTCCACAGAGGTAAAGAGATATGATAACTATGGTCATTTTCCCTATCCCTTTTGATAAGACTGGCAAAATGACCTCTTTCCATTTCTAATCATGTAACAATGAGATTGTTGAGAAGGCAAACAAAGTCCGATGAACAAAGAAACGAAAATGTGCACAAAAGAAAGCATCCAGACTGCTTCTTGCCCCATAAAGAAGTGACAGCAGTGACACTGCCCCTTCCTAGGCCTTTGCGCCCACAGTGAACAAAGAGAGTAGAGATTAGAACAAGGTGGGGCACAGAACCAAGAGCAGAGCAGCTTTTGAAGCTGTGAAAGGAGACGTGAGAGAACAGGAGGAATGGGCCCGGCGGGAGCCCAGCAGTGAGGTGGGAAGGCAGCCCCCGCAGGTGGTGTCCATATAACCGACTCAGAAAAAGGACCTTTCCTTAGAATAGAAACCCCCACCCACCGACCGCCCCGCAGAAAAAAAAAAAAATCAGCATGCTTCTCAAAAGAAACCATGCTGTGGGAACTAAACTAATTAATATTGCTGTTCGTTTCTAAATAATCCTCCTAAAAAGCCAGAGTTCTCAGCTCAGAAGAAATGGCCAATTCCAGTTAAACATCTCTGAATTTTTATGGAGTACATTCCTCTAAGGACTAGGTAATTAGATTAAGACAGATGGAGGCAAGCGCTTCCATTCCCATAGGGCCATGTCAGGTTGAGTGGAGGGGTAATGGGGGATAAGACTTGTGGGATTCTAAAGGGCACACTCAGGGAAATCAGTGACTTTGCCATAGGGTTTTTCTGTCCACCCTAACAACAAAACTCATTCCATGCTGAATCATTAAGCCCCCGAGGCAGAGTACAGTCAGGAAACCCAGCCCATTAGCACCCTGTCATCAGAGAAAGGACTCTGGCCTCCACAGTTAATTACTCACAGTGCACAGACTGCTTGTCTGCGGTCTCCAGCCGTCCCATGCGAGACTGGATCTCATGGACCTGCCTATCAAAGGAAGAGGGAGGAAATGAGTGAGATGGGAGTAATCAACAGCGCTTCAGTCAGGAAAGACAATTTTTCTGATGCCAACATGTAACTGATTTAAATTGACAGCATCACCGAACTGTAAAATTTGTATGTGGCACTTTAGGCCCCATGTTTTGGCATGGTTTCTAATATCTTAACTACTACTAATAACAATGATAGGCAGATTGTGTGTGCTTACCAAGTCCAAGATACTTTGCCAAGTCAATAACCCTAATGAGGCAAGTACCACTATCATCCTCATTTTATAAATAAAACTCTTAAGTCCGGAAAGGTTATGTAACCGTTCAAGGTCACACAGCAAGTGATAACCCTCTAACTGGACCCAGCCAATCCTACTCTCTGTTCTATGACCCAGTGTGCTAAGCACTGGCCTGTACTAGGAAGAGTCAAAGGGCAAGGGAGATATAATCCTTGTCCTTCAGAAACAACGTAATTAGGAATGACAGGCTGGGCAGACATGAACAAGCCCTGGGAAGATTTACAAGAAAAGCAATACACATAAGTGTAAACAAACAGAAAGGGGGTTGCTCTGCACAGTGGTGTCACATGCAAACAGACAGAGGGGTGGGGCTGAGAAAGAGAAACCAGGTTCAGTTTTGCGGACGGAGAGAGTTCTGAGCATCACTTTTGAAGAAAGGAGGCATCATTTGGCGAAGGAAGATAGAAGAATGATATGCAAAAATTCATACAAGACATGTCATGTGGATTAAAAGCAGGGTGCGCTGCTTGAAAGAGAATCAGTTCGAGGGAGAGGAAGATGAAGTAACTCACTGCAGGAAACCATTCAGAGGAAGGTCCTGAAAGACAGGGACCGCCTGTTCGGTAAACATCCTTCCCTGACAATATGAATGAAAGAAGAACTGCCACCTCATTTGGAAATGCAACACTATACCCTGGATCTGAGTCACACACTCTGGAGGCTTCCCAAGCCTCCTCAAGACCCTTCCTAGTGGTCCTCCGTGATCAGTCCTTGGGATAGTGCTTATGCTGGGCACACCATCCACTTCCTGGTGCTTACCCAAGCTAGAGCCCACATGAAGGGGGCCTGCTGGGCTCTCACATCATCCCCAACCCTGGAGGAAAGGTCAGTAACCATTCTTCACCGTGAGTACTACAAACCATGACCCCAAATTTACCAGTGCCAGCCAGGCACCCAACTTTGGCTTCAGCTTGTGCCAAGTCTTTTCCAGGGCTTCCTTGTGGCCTCCAGACATGCCCTCAGGCACCAGAAGAAGCTGGGCGAGCTGTCAAATGGCTCTCCAGAGTGCTCCTAGGCCTGTAGCCCTGAGAAGCAACTAGAAATCACTAGTAGAGTCCGAGACCAGACCATTGCTTGCGGAAAGTGCGGGATATTCTGGGATGATGCAGGGGTGTGGAGGTAAGGGGGCTGATGGAGGAATGCCGCCTGAGGTAGCTGACATCTGAATCAGGGCAACCATGGGAACAGGTATAGGGGACTGGATGGTAACGGGAATGGAAAGGAGAATCAGGACTCTAATGAAGTCCTGATATAGGCTGAGAGATAAATTTTCAATGGTGACTTAACAGAAAAATCTGAAAGTTGGTAATATTACCAATAGAAACAGTGACATAATAAAAAGGTGGGAGAGGTAAAGAATAGCCAAGACCACTTTGAAGGAGGAGGAGGAGGAGGAGGAGGAATGACTTGTCCCACCCACAAGCAGCAACAATGGAAACAATATGGTGGCAGTGCAGGTACAGACCGACAAGGAAAGGCAAACCCGACACCTGACCCAAGACAAAAGAGAGGGCCAGACACAGCCCCATGTATTTGGGAGCTTTTGAAAGAAGGGACTACAATCAATGCCAACAGCTCTGATTGGTTATCCCTACAGAAAAAGGACACCTCAGGTAACACACAAAAATAAACTCAAGCTTGCTTAAAACCTAAATGGGAAAAGCAGAGCTTTCAAACTTTCTGAAGAAAATGTAGATGCGCATAAATGACCTAGGTTACAGAAGGATTTCTTATATAAGACTAAGACAAAAATCCCAAAACTGCCCACCCCAACAAAACCCACAGGCTGCAAAGGAAAAAACGGATACAACTGACGACATTAAAACAAAAAACTTCTGTACACCAAAGCCACAAAATAAAAAAATAAACAAATGGTACAGACTGGAGGATATCTACAGCAGATTAACAAAGGACTGATGTGTAGAAAATATACAGAGACTTGTTACAAATCAATAGGAAAAGTCAAACAAGCCATTTTGTTTTCTTAATGAAGAAAGGGCAAATGACAGAAAAGAAAACCCAAATGGTCAATCGACATACAAAATGACAATCAACTAGAAAAACACAAATGAAAAGCAATGAGGTCACATTTCTTTAGCGCATCAAACTGACAAATATTTTAAAGGTTGAAGACATATGCATTAATAAGGATATAGGAAAACCAACTCTCATATTTATAATCCAGCTGGATTATAAATTGGTAAAACACTTAAAATGCTAGCAATAACTAGTAGAATAAAGTATGTATCCATCCTATGGCCCAGCACTTTGAGGAGTATGTCCTAGAGATGTCCTGACATACACTGAGGAGATATGCATGGCAGGGATGTTCATCAAAGCACTTTTGTACAGGTCCATAACCCACTGACTTTTCCCATCCAATATCTATTTGTTTTGAACCAATTAGAGAAGATGTAGACAATAATACAATTCCAATCGCTACATTTCATGCTAAGAAAAGATAAATGTGAAACAACAAAGCAAGTACGAATGGTAAGGTGGTAACTACTGAAGTGGAAAATCTGTTTTAAACTGAACTGGCAATTCTGACAACACAACATGGCGACTGGAAGTCAATTAGAAACAGGTGATACACAAGCATGACTTGGGAGCATGGACATGAGGAAAAAGAAGTCTTAGCCCTCTCCAGCATAGGGTCCATGGTGGGCTTGGGTGATAATATAACAGAGCAGAGAAATAGTAGCAAATAAACCAAGGTCACTGCAGCTGTCTCTAAAAAAGGTCTACAGAAGACCTAGGAAGAATTTTTGAATGGAAGTGCTTTTTAAATGTTCATGAAACTACTCACCATCCCACCCCCACCCCCTGTAACCCTGTAATACACACCACTAAGCATCCAGGCTGCCTCTGACCACTGTGAGCATGAAAATGCTGTGTAACCTATACAGTATCACGTGTTTGTTGTTACTTTAAAGCAGTGGCAACAATCTGGTCATTTTCATTTCAGTCACTTTGCCTTTACAATTAGCTCATTAAAGGGCAAAATCTATAAAGAAAAAAATGGTCTTAAGGTAATAGTTCTTAAGCCCAACTGCTTATCAAAATCACCTGGGGGGCCTGCTAAATGTAGTGCTTCTTGTGCCCTGGAGATACTGATTCAGAATCCCTAGCAATAAGGTTTACGACAAGGGACTAATCTTGGACTACACAGGGGACAAATGTGGGCACCTTTACAATCACTGGGATCTCAAAAATAGAAGCTTGGCTATTAGCTCCTCTATAAAGTTCATCTAAATGAAATATTTAAGTGTAAAATGTTTATTCTGTTTTTCATCTTTTATTTTCATTCATTCATTTTTCAGGTAAGTTCAGGAGTTTTCAAGTAACTTGAAAATGTCAATCTAATTCCAATGTACTCAATGTATTCAGGGCCATGGCAAGAGATAGCCACAAACTGGGTTCAAAGTTCCAGTAAAATTAGTATGCTCAGCTACTGTTGTGTCAACTCAGCTACAATCCTTAATTTCTGCAGTTGCGAAAATTCATTGCTGGTGCTCTCCAGACTCCATGTGTTTCCTGTGAAAGTAATTCAGTCACCAGTTCTGTTATCAGGGAACTGAAAGGAGCCTTACAGTTTAACCAGCCCACACTATAATAGTATTCTAAGGATGAGGAAAAACAAAGGAGGTCTAGAACCAGAACTCCTACTCCTAGTGCAGCACTTGAGAAAAAAGAAGATACTGCAGCATGAAAGAAAGTAAACTCCTCCAGGGCAGGGCTGTGCTGCCAGCACTGAGAATGGTACATAGCACATAGCAGGTGCTCAATAAATATTCATTGAATGAATGAGTGTCAGGGTAATAGAGAGCCTAATAATTATGAGGCAAAGCTATACCGCTGCTTGTTTTGATAAACTGTACTGGAACACAGGTACTCAATTAGTTTACACACTACGGCTGTTTTCCCGATATAACAGCAGAGCAGTCACTGCAGAGACTGTACAGCCCACAGAGCCTAAAATATTTACTATCTTAAAACTGATCCTTAACAGAAAAAAACTGGCAAACTGCTAGAGTCCAAGGGTGCGTTGCTGAAGCTGGAGGCCTACAGAGTTTATCTACACTCCACACACCTTGTTTGGGGCACCATTTAGCATTCCTCTTCCAAGCTATGCAGATTTCTCTGTGATTAGCTGCACTGAAAACAGGTACAGTCTAAGACTCTCTAAACAAAATTATTCTTGACTATAAAAAGGGTCATGGCCTTCTTGGCAACATCTTTTAACTAAATTAACTAGATAAGACCATACATAACAGATTAAATTCAAGGCACTACTATGCTCATTGTGCCCTGCTACTGTAAAAGATCTGCCCTTTCTCAGTAACATGAACATAGTTTTGCTTCACTCTTTTTCTAAATGACTCAGAGGCTAGTTTAAGTCCCTTCCTATAACGTTTATGTGAGAATAGGGCTCCCCAGTGTAAAAGAAAAGTTCTGTCATTACAAAGTAGGTTCTGTATTTTCGCCCACCCAAATGAAACACTTCATCGCCAAAATAAAAGAAACCCATAAACTTAGAAAATGAAAGCGTAAGAAGATCATCATCCTCTTATTCCTAATCGTCAGGGCCTTTCATTTCCAGGCCTTGGGAGTGTCATTTTAAGTGTTTTAATCAACAAAACTACAGCATAAGTCTGAAAGTTCTTAATAATATTCTTAACAGGATAGGTTTTTTTCCCTAAAAAATTGAGAGGAGGAACTAAAACTTGCACATGAGAGTTCACAGCAGTTATTATTCTCAATAGCCCAAAGGTGGAAATAACCCAAGTGTCCATCAACAGATGAATGGATAATAAAATGTGGTAGATACATACAACAATTATTCAGTCATAAAACGGAATGAAATTCTGATAACAGGCTACAATACAGATGAACTCAGAAAACATTAAGTGAAATAAGCTAGATACAGAAGGAGAAATTCTGTACGACTCCACCTACATAAAATATCTAGAATAGGTGAATTCATAGAGAGAAGTAGAACAGAGGTTACTAGGTGCTCCGGAAGGAAGAAATGAAGTGCCTGATTAATGGGCACAGTTTGTTTGGGATGATGCAGAAGTTCTGGAAATGGATCGCAGTGATGTAAGTTGTGAATGTACTTAATGTCACTGAATTGTACACTTAAAAATTGTTAAAATAGCAAATCTTATGTTGTGTATATTTTACAATTTAAAAAATCATAAAATTCTGTTCTCCCAAATTAGAGTAGGTATGGCCCCATTACCATACTCAACTACGTATCTCAGCAAGTTCCAAAAGTGCAGGACGATGCGAATAAAGGACACTACCAAGGAATTTAAGTTGTGAAAAGCTAAACTAAAATTCGATTTCCTTAGCGATAACCTGTAACCAGATATGATTAACAAGTAGTAATAGTGAATGCCACATGGACAGCAATTTCTTTGTACCATAAAAATGTGGTCTTTAGTATAAATCAAGTAAAAACAAATATTTTCCCGTACGTGCCTTGACTCTCCAATTAAGCAGTACACTCCTACCGACCATGTCTCCCCTGGAGCTCTACCAACCCGGAGCACCGAGTTAAGTGCCGGACAAAGTTTTATAACCTGCAGGTGCCACTTTCCCCTCACCCAGTTTACCCAGTAGGTAGTCACGGGCTTGCAGACCCCAGGAGCCATCTGCCCCACGTCTCCAAGCCCCAGGCTGGACCGGTTGATCTGGGCGTCTCGCCAGGGATTAAGTACTTCGGAGGCATCCCCAGCAATGCCCTGGCGGAAAAACTCGGCCTCTTGGGCCCCAGAGGAAGTCCGAGGCCCCAGCTCCAGAAGCAGGCCTCACCTGGCCTAGCCTCGCCTAGCCCCCGCCCGCTCCCCGACGCGGCCCTCACTTGTGCGTTTGCTGGTACAGGGGGTCCATGTCGCCGGCCCCGCAGGCCACGGATGAGGTTCTGGCTTCTTCGAACACGTCCTCACAGCCCCACTTCCGGCTTCCGGCTTCCGGTCTCAGGACCCTCCCTCCCCGGCCGGCCAGGGCTGCCCGCACGCGCGCCTCACTAGCAGTGGTTGCGAGATCGGAGAAGGGGAAGGAGAAATGAGGCCGGCGATGGAAAGATAAGTGTAGTCACAGGCTCGGTTTCACGTGAAGACCAAGGAGGTGTAGGCGTTCGCAGACGGCTAGCCTCAGTATTCGGTCAGGCATTAGGAAGGACAGTCGCGGGATACTGACGAGAAGTCCTCAGAGCAAAGTTGCAGGCAAGCAGGGACACCTGCTCTTCCCTGCCGCAGAGGAACGGGAGGTTCTTGCTTGGCTTCGCTTTAAACCATTTAATCGGGGTCTGGAGATTTCGCTCTCCACTGGATTCCTTGGCGCATGCTTTTTCTGTCTCGCATTTGTCCACTCACTCTCCCGCCTCTCTACCCCCATTCCTATTTATCCATCCAATAAACCCACATTGAATGAGTGATTATTTTGTGCCATGTGTAAAGTGGGCAAAACCGGTTTCCTCCTGCCCTCAGAGAGGTTGTGGTCTGGAAAAGGAAATAAGATATGTATACTATCAAAAGAGAAAATTACAAGAAATGTAGTTATAGATCTTAACTAGCTATTTGCGATCCTAGCATCGGGCAACACCTTATTCTGTAAAATAGAGTATTCTGACGAGCTGACTAGAGGAGATTGTTTCCATAGGCAGAAAAGGGCTGGGAAAAAAAAAAAAAAAAGCAGAAACAAAGAACAAGTTTCAAAGTTATTTTACTTGCATTGGTTAAAGCAGAAGGGACTTCCTTTATCATGGGGATATGGCTATTTTCCCTCTCCTGATTTCTCCGAAGGTCAGATGAACAGTTTAATTTCGGCTATGTGGCTTGGAACTTCAGCACGAGTGACTCTATTTTGGTTTGGTCTGTTGGGCCTAGTGCAGGAGCTGATTCCAAACCAATGGCTTTTTATAAATTTTATGTATCAAGACAAACATTGTACAAGAGATTCCAAACATTGCAAAGACATTGAGCTGAGCTGGGGGTCGTCTCTAGGAGGAGATTTAGGAAAGACCTAATGAAGGGGTGGCATTTGAGCCGGGACTGGGATTTGGACACTTCTCTGTCTCCACATAGGCTATCCCATTTCCATCCTCCCAAGCTTATCTGCTATTCCTCCCAAGGGAGGAGACGTTCTTTTCTTCAACAAGTTAATACTTCTGTTTTCCTGGATCCTGAATCCCACCCAGTTATGTGTCCCAAGAGACTGTCCGCCCATGTACGTTCTTTTCCTAAAATCATGTTTTCACTGATTCTGTCATTGAGCATCTACTATGTACCATGCACAGATATGGGTGATAGGAACAAAAGCAAGACACAGCCCTCAAATCTCTGATATCTCTCATGGTCTGTTGGGAGGACTACTCATAACTTCAAGCTACATTATTAAGTAGAATACATGCTACAATTGATACAAAGTACCATTTCCCTGGGGAGGAGCAAGAAGGGATCATGGGCCGGGCGCGGTGGCTCAAGCCTGTAATCCCAGCACTTTGGGAGGCCGAGGCGGGTGGATCACGAGGTCGAGAGATCGAGACCATCCTGGTCAACATGGTGAAACCCCGTCTCTACTAAAAATACAAAAAACTAGCTGGGCGTGGTGGCGCGTGCCTGTAATCCCAGCTACTTAGGAGGCTGAGACAGGAGAATTGCCTGAGCCCAGGAGGCGGAGGTTGCGGTGAGCGGAGATCGCGCCATTGCACTCCAGCCTGGGTAACAAGAGCGAAACTCCGTCTCAAAAAAAGAAAAAAAAAAAAGAAGGGATCATGGACAAAATAGCACACTAATAGGACCTTCAAGAATCACAGAATCTTAACAGTTTCTTGCATATACTAACCACTCTGAAAATATTTATTGTATGCAGAGATGAGGAGGGCATTTGAGGCTGAGGGACTAGCTTGAGCAAAGGCAAACAGAAGGAAAGAACATGAATCTCCTCTGGCTGGATTCAGGGTGCTTGGGCAATAACAATATTCCAAGAAAGGTTAGAGCCAGATCATAGGAAATCTCTTTTTTGTTTTGAGATGGAGTCTCTCTCAGCTGCCCAGGCTGGAGTGCAATGGCACAATCTTGGTTCACTACAACCTCTGCCTCCTGGGTTCAAGCGATTCTCCTGCCTCAGCCTCCTGAGGAGCTGGGATTACAGGTGACCACCACTACGCCCGGCTAATTTTTGTATTTTTAGTAGAGACAGGGTTTCACCATGTTGGTCAGGCTGGTCTCAAACTCCTGACCTCAGATGATCTGCCCACCTCAGCCTCCCAAAGTGCTGGGATTACAGGCTTGAGCCACTGTGCCCAGCCAGGAAATCTTAAATGTCAGCAATTGGGTTTTTATTTATAGATTTTTATTTTGTAAGTAGTTGGAAGCTATTAGAAAAATCTGTCAGAGGATAGAAATATTAAAAATTTCTCGAATAATTTTTATGCCTATGTCTTATTTTCCTTTGGGTCTTATGGCATCCCTGGGAAGTGGGTAAGGCAGATAAGGAAATTAAGTACAGAAGATCTCCCTCCTGCCTCTCAGTATCTTAATTCTTTGCACACATTTAGGTCTTCCTCTAAATAGGAAGAAACTCCACTCTCCCATCTTACTGCTTTTTTTTTTTTTTTCTTTTTTCGTGATGGAGTCTCGCTCTGTCACGAGGCTGGAGTGCAGTGGCACGATCTCAGCTCACTGCAACCTCTGCCTCCCGAGTTCAAGCTATTCTCCTGCCTCAGCCTCCCAAGTAGCTGGGACTACAGGTGCAGGCCACCACTCCCAGCTAATTTTTGTATTTTTAGTGGAGATGGGGTTTCACCATGTTGCCCAGGATGATCCTCCCAGCATGTCCAGGAAGTGAGACATGAAATCAAAGGAGATTATTCTCTAGCTTTAAGACAATGTTGTTTTCCATGTTGGGTTTTGGACTCACTTGGGACCATTTATCCTCCTTTTCTTGCCTAGTTTTCTCTTTTGGAATGGGAATGTCTATCCTATGCCTGTACCACCATTGCATTTTGGAAAAAGATAAGTTGTTTTGATTTTACAGGCTTGCGGCTGGAGGAATTTGCCTTGGGATGAATCATGCCATGAATCTCACCTATACCTGGTTTAGATGAGACTTTGGACTTTGGGCTTTTGAATTGGTGCTGGGTTGAGTTAAGACTTTTGGGACTATCGGGATGGAATGAATACATTTTTTATGTGAGAAGGACATAAATTGGGGAGGCAGGGGGAGAATTTTATGCTTTGAATGTGTCCCTCCAAAATTCTTATGTTGGAAACTTTCAGCAGTACTGAAAGGTGGGGCCTTTGGGAGGCAATGGGGCCCTAAGGACAGAGCCCTCATGAATGGATTGATGTAGTTATTATAAGAGTGGACTTCTGATAAAAGGATAAGTTTGGCTGCCATTTTGTGTCTGTTCCAGGTACTAACTTCTTCTGCCTTTCACTTTTCCATCATGGGATGAACTTCGCCAGATGATGGTGCCATGCTCTTGGATTTATCAACCTCTGGAACTGTGAGCTGAATAAAATTATTTTCTTTAAATATTACCCAGTTTGTGGTATTCTATTGTGGCAGCAGAAAATGGACAGCTGATTATACAGATAATGCCATTTATTTAACGCTGGTTACATCATTACTCATGATGCTGCACCATTCTTCACTCTACCTACAAATACTGGCTTCATAACTCAAAGTTTGTTCTGTGCCTCTTTAGTGATGACATCTATGGCAATTTTGCCTAAAGCGTGCAGAAAAATGTGAATAAAATTTCACTGATCAGAGTTTTATAGTGTATGTTTACAATAATATATCATCCAATCACATCTTCTCCTGAATTATTTAGGCTGTAATCACTGAATTCCTAGAGAGCAATATCTTTCAGTGTTGACCTCACCCCTGCCTTTCACACACTGAAACCAGCTGGCAGGCGATGGGGTGGATAGGCTAAGGGCCCATAGGTGGAGCAAGTAGAGAAGTTCCATTCATGTAAGGAACATCTGGCCCTCACCTAGAACAGCTTAAGACCAACCTAGTATCTCATGAGGTCACTATATTGATCAGAGGCAAGAGAGGACATTGATTGTAAATGCTGGTTGGCATTACAGCATAATGGTCTTGAATGGAGAAGATAGGCATGGCCACCTCTGGAGGATTGTCTGACACGTGGTGCAAAGCCTTGGAGAGGGCTGGACACCCTGCACCAGCTGGAGGTGAGGAACCCCAGACAGGGTAAAGGATACATCTATTGTCATTATTGTGTCATGCCAGGGGTGGCACTGTGGTCATAACTGTGGTGAGAGCCATGACATTGACCCACTCAGGTGGCTCAACCTCAGGGATTGGTGGTGAACTGTTAGTAGCCCAGAATTCCGAACTCGTATATTCAATGTGAATTACCCCACATTAGCAAGTCAGTACCATTTTAGTGGCCCAGTATTTTCAATGCCGTAAAATAAATATTTTCTTTTCTTTTCTTATTTTTTTATTTGAGACGACGTTTCGCTCTGTCACCTAGACTGGAGTGCAGTGGCATGATCTAAGCTCACTGCAACCTCCGCTGCCCAGGTTCAAGAGATTCTCCTGCCTCAGCCTCCCTAGTGACTGGGACTACATGTATGTACCACCATACCTGGCTAATTTTTGTGTTTTTAGTAGTGATGGGGTTTCACCATGTTGGCCAGACTGGTCTTGAACTCCTGACTTCAGGTGATCCGCCCGCCTTGGCCTCCCAAAGTGCTGGGATTACAGGTGTGAGTCACCATGCCCAGCCTACTCTGTGTTTTAGGAAGATCTTTTGGGGAACTTTGAAGAGGATGATCGAAAGTGGAGGGGTTGGCTGAGGAATGGTGAGGGCATTTCATAGTTTAGTAGGGGAAGTGGAGCATATACACAGCTGGCACCAACTGCGAAAGGTGGCATGTGAGCACTGGCACAGGTGGGACACACAATAGGGGGG